TTTCTACTCTCCGGATGGCAGCGAGGGGGAATGTGAAGCCATTTCCGCTAGGCCCTGAGCCGTGGGTCTGGCCAGTGAAGGCAGATGACGTAGCCGTAGTAGCTGCGGACGAGAAGCTTGTTGGTGTCGTCGAGAAGCACATGTAAGCCTCGGAAAGATGGAGCTTGCCGGCATAGTGCCAGCCGCGGTCATGGTCCTTGCCGCCCTGGGTGACGTTTGATGGCGGGATCGTAAGCTCGGCCGAGATCTCGTAGAGGGGGTTTTGGGAGCTCGGGAGGCGGAACTGGTTCTGGAAAAGTGAGGCCTTTGGTGGGTTACGGTCCGAGTTTGTCAGGTTGAGACCCTGCATAGGATCAATCAGCTGCTGAGCAGCCGACTGGGCCTTCTGAACCAGGTTGCTGAGGGCGAACATGGCTGCGAGACGACTCTGCAAGACGGGCCGAAGGTCGGCGGGATGCTCAGTGCATAGCGCGACTAAGCACGCTCGGAGGTTGTTGTAGGCGCGCTGCTGTGTGTTGTGTTGGTTTCCTAGAGCCTGGATGTTTAGAGCTAGGGAGACTACAGCGCCTCTGCAAGCTGAGAGGCCTGTCCAGAGTTCGCTCGTGAGCTGGAGATCGTTTGCAAGGGGGGATGTCGTGGTTGGCGATTGGAGTTTGGCGGACTGGCTGGCTGACCTTACATGGCAAGCTGGGCTGGACGGATGGAACTGCGGGTGTAGGTGGGCTGACAAGGACAGGAGGGAGCTAGAACTGTACGGAGCACGCTAACGCTAGCTGGCGCAGGGTAGCCACCCGACGTCAAGCCTGAGGTCACTGAGATGGGCAGGCCTCTCTCACAACCTCAGGCATCAACACAATACGGACGGAGTATGCACACCTGCCACTCTTCAATTCGTGGACTTTCCATCTTGATACTCTATACCGCTTTCGATCGCACCTCGGAGCCCACCCTCTCCAAGTTGTGTATCTCTCGCTGGAGACTCAGGATTGTCGGCCATCTCGACTCTTGAGCCTCTGGCCCCACTCACTCCTGAGCTGGATGCGGTGACCAGCGAGCGACTCCAATCAACCAGCAGCACGAAAACGGCCACAAGGTCGAGCAGACGGGAGCCATTTGCACCAAGTACGGCTACACGGTGGCTGATACAGGCCGCCATCCCGGTAGAGGTGCAACGGAACCACACCAGCAGATGCAGCACTGTCGACAGTCCGAGAGGCTGGACAAAGGATCAACGCCCGAACATCATGAAGCTTCGACGACGACGGCGTCTGGCAAGTACCTTAGCCTAACGGCACTTGTCCAATACCCCCCTGACGCCCCGCTGTAGCCTGCCTGCCCCCATTTCCGACTCCCGAGTTCGACTTCCAACCCTCTTTTGGTGCTGACAGCCCGGGGTGGTCATGCTCGCTTAGTCACAGGGATGGTCCCTGATCATGTGTGTCTCAGACTCTCGATAGCGAAACGCGGCCCTATTCAAGCACCCTTGCCGTCTTTGCGCCCGGCGACGCGGCGGGCAGACTTGCATAGAGAGACGCGGCGAGACGCTTGAGCGACGAGGCGACGCTTTGGTATTCTCAACTCGCGGCACGCGATCCACATGGACCGACTGGGCGTTCTCAGTCTTCAGGCGCCGATGCACTCCACCGCGATCCACGTGGTGCACGCCGTCGGGCGCCGTCCAGCACACGAGAAGTCATTTAGAGAGGGCTGCCTGAACCCGCGACTCGCAGCAGGCCGACTCGCCGCTGTAATTTGTCGTTGCAGCAGAGTTTGACGGATGATGAAGGACGGTGGGAAATGCTCGGCCGGCCAGTCACCCCGTGGATGGATGCTGACCGGCGAGCTGTGTGCCTTCGGAAGGACCCCCGCATATCGACGTCATACTCTGAAGTGGGCTCAACGGCACTCTCATTTCGAGAGATGCGCCAGACAGGCGGATAGTGGGAGGGAGGGTCCCTGACGCCCACCAGCACCGGTAGAGCCTGTCCTGGCAGTTCCCAAAAGTGTCGCATCACCGCATCGACTCAGTTCCCTCTTGCGCGCTAACTGCGCAGCCTGATCCGCCCGCGGTTGTTCTTCGCAACAAGAGCCGCCAGAATCTCCAGCCTCTGTCCTGGCGTCTCTGTCCGCCCTCCACACTCTCCACACCTCTGTGTAGCAGCGCCAAATCTGACCTGATTGTTGTCGCACAACCTCCAGCCTCTCGTTCTCGCCATCAACCTCTGCTCGGCACACAACAGCACGCGCCGGCTGTGCCTCGGTCGAACTGAGCGTCAGCATCATTCGCGAGACATGCAGCAGGCTCTTAGTCGCTAATTTAAACCACGACACCCGCCTGTGTTCTGCCAAATCGAGCACCCAACACCCAACGCCGAACCATAGCAACACACAAACGCCTGCGCACGGAATGGCTACAACAATTGCGCATCCAGGTTTCCTGGGCGGCGTCAAGCAGGAGTTTCAGAAGCTCAGAGAACATATTAGTCCAGACCATGGCGGCTCCCCCCCGAAGTCTGCGAGCACGTCCTCGGCTAGGGGCGACGGCGACGGAAAGCAGTCATCAACACAACAGCATACTCCGAGTCGCCAAGAAGGCCTGAAACTCGACGATTTCAACCTTGTGAGGACATTGGGCACGGGTATGGCCAGCAATAAGTCTCTGCCTGCGCAGCTTGCCACTCGGCGTGAAGGCCATATCCGTTCACTGCTGACTTCGTCTTTGTTGCCTAGGCACTTTCGCTAGGGTCTGTCTTGTTCGTCCAGCGCGTGGTACCGATGAGGACAAGGAGAAGGTCTTCGCCCTCAAGATCCTCCGTAAATCCGAGGTTATTAAGCTGAAGCAAGTAGATCACGTACGGCACGAGCGCCAGATTCTCAGCGATGTGGCCGGTTTTCCATTCATCACAGAGCTAATGGCTTCGTTCTCGGACCACGACTCTTTATACATGGTCCTCGATTACGTACCAGGGGGTGAATTGTTCAGCTACCTTCGGCGACACCGACGTTTTCCCGAAGAGTGGGCGCAGTTCTACGCGGCGGAAATTGTTCTTGTGCTTGAGTTCCTCCACGAAAAGCAAGGTGGCGTGGCATATCGCGATTTAAAACCGGAGAACCTCCTCATCGACGCCGAAGGCCACGTAAAACTGGTCGACTTTGGGTTCGCCAAGCGACTCGGACACAAAGACGACAGGCCTGTCGAGACATACACGTTGTGCGGAACACCAGAATACCTGGCGCCTGAAGTGATACAAAACAAAGGCCACACCACAGCCGTCGATTGGTGGGCGCTCGGTATCCTGATATATGAGTTTCTCACGGGTTACCCACCATTCTGGCACCAGAACCCGATAGAGATATACAAACAGTAAGGCGAACAACCAAAACGCGAGAGTAGCCGCGCGAGCGGCAGCATAACTGACACTAGCCCACATAGAATCGTCGAGAAGCCCGTCGTATTCCCCGCTGATCCGCCCATTTCCGAGAAGGCGCAAAACATCATCAGCTCATTCTGCACCGTAGACCGGTCACGCCGCCTAGGCAACATCAGCGGCAACGCCAATGCCGTCAAGTCCCACCCGTTCTTCGAGGGAATCAACTGGGACGCGCTGCTGGACCGGCAAATCCCCCCACCAATTGTACCGCAGGTACGGTTTCCTGGCGACGCCCAGTGCTTCGATCTCTACCCGGAAGACGATGGCAAGCGGGAGCCATATACGGACGAGATGGCAGGCAAATACGATCCGTACTTCCAGGATTTCTGAGATACGCTTCTACGAGCTTGATGCGGAGTTGTTAGGGCTGAGAGAGCCTCAACGTACTATCCAGTAATGATTTCCAGGCGTTTCAATCTGGACTGGCCCAGACTTGCGGGGCAATATAGTATATAGGCTTGCTCAGCATGTCTCGATTTTGTGCACAACACGGTATTTATGGGTTGAGGCGTTTTCGGTTTGAATTTTTCTGCGTCACGAGACAATCTAGGCGCGTAGCAAATACATTTTGAATAACTACATTTCCGGGAGCGAACATGGTATTTATTGACTCGCGAGCGCTCTCATGTATTGTGTATGATCTAGAGGCAGTTTTCCTTGATGCGATTGACACTCTGTGAATGTCTTTTGGACCTAGCGGTATGTTTTGACATGTAAGATGTCTGCGCTCCCATGGTTGCAAGAGTCCTTGCGCGACCAAAGTGTGTGTTCAGGGGTTTTGTGCTATTTCTTGGGGGGTCTTTTGTAGGAATGCGTGAGGCATGTGCTGTGCAGAGGAGAGATAGAGGGAGAGGACAGTAAGTTTCAAAAAGTGTAATGGGAGTTATATATCATCTCCCAGCTGAGCTCTGCGCTTCCCCGACATGAATGGGGTGGCGGTAAAGCAAGCTGCTGTCAAAGTCACAGGAAACGACGTGGCCCAGGGCCTGCATTTTGAGTAAACGGGACTGATCTATCAGCGCCACCTACTTTCTCTCCTATCTTTTTATTGCTGGAGAAACTAGCCTTTGAAAAAGAAAGCCAATTTGTTAACTCACGTACCAAGGATCAAGCAGTCTCAGCCGTATATATTAGTACTCTACGATCATGACTATACAAATGAGGGCCTAGGAGTGTAGGGCAACTTTGACTAGGACATTGGAGTCCCTTTATCTGTAACTATCACGGACTATGATTACAAACAGGTCATTATCTCGTCACACCTCTCCTAAAACTAGGGCGTTGCGCTCGCTGGACGGCAGTCTTTTCCAAACACGGAGCCGTACAGCTATCCACACCAGGCAACACATTTCACGGGAAATGTACTATTCTGAATCTACGGCGATCTTGCCCCCTCCCCACACACACTCGGTGATGAAATCAAGGCCTTCGAGTCGTAACCAGCAGCACATGCCTCATCACGCCCACCCTGAGCGTCCACGACTTAAACAAAACCTCACTCCTGTAGCATAGCGGCCGTTCCCAGCATGGATATTTGGCCATAAGGACCGGCGATTCCATCCAATCACCGGTCTGATGGTCTAGTGGTATGATTCTCGCTTAGGGTCTACCCTACAGCTTATAACTCAGTATGCGAGAGGTCCCGGGTTCAACTCCCGGTCAGACCCATGGTGCGTGGCTCAATGCCTCGGTCAGTTGCTTTTGCCCTCTGCTTGTTTTTTTGTTTTTGTCTTTGACGACTGCTGGTGTCTATCTGTTTGGGGGATGGAGGGTGAAGGGGGGTGAGAGCTTGCGTGCTGTTCTTGTCTGCTCACGTCGCAAAGAGTGGATGGAGTCAGGATTTTTTTCTCGTATTATGTGAAAGACCCTAGTATCTCCTAGTAACTTTGAACTACCATGAGGTAATTAGCTGTTGTGAATGGATTGACAAAACTTATATTACAATGATCGCTGAGGTGTTAGTGACATCGAGAGAAGCACAGGCTAAGCGCCTCCTTTGTACTTCGATGTCAACGGAAATAGATGAAACAATTACTAAACTAGATAGAGGTAGTAGTATGCAGGATTTTGAAGAGATTGGAAGCCCCCGTGGCTTCTAAGCTTGTTGTTACTACATTTGTTGATAGGCTGTGTATCTGATCTAGTTCAACGGTGTCGTTGGGCTTCACCTGCCTAACGCTTTCCAGAGACATCGGATTCTCAGTCCAGGCAATTTCAAGACAAAGCATTCATGCTAATTACATTGATGGACCAGGAATCCACAACCGGCTAGTGGGCGAGTATGCTTGTCATCGCGCACAGCGCATGCTGTAACACCGTGCCAGGACTTCCGGTAGTCCCATCCTCAGTTGTAAGTAATACTCAGGTCTCCAGTAGGTACTAAGCATGCTGTGCTGAAGTGGCATATGCTGTTGCTATGACTATCTCCTCGACTCCGTCTTCATGTGGAGGAGAGAACCCCGGTAACGCGATCGTGTTCGCTCCCCTTCAGCTAGGAACATATGACCTAGTTCTGACACGGGGAGTACTAGATTTTGCTTCCCCTTCCTGCCTCCCTTCCCTCCCTCGGTCCGCTTGCATGCTCGGATAGACTTGGAAGGAGTACGGCGGATTTTGTGCGATAGGAGTGTTGCCACCTACCGCTAAGTGGCTCCCTCAGGGCGACGCTGATGGCAGTACTTAGAGACTTGTGCGTGTGATGTGGTTTGCTCCATGTGCTTTCTGTCGATAGTAGTCATCGTCCCCGTCGCCGTCCTAGCGACAAACCATGGCCATAGCGCGGGAAACGCAAACTCGGTTCAGTCACTTGAGAGCTGATTCGAGCAGGCAGCAATGCTAACAGACAACGCGTACGCGACAGGATAAGCCCAACCGGCTAGCATACGGATCTGTTCTTCCTCGATGTCTCTCCACCGTCGTGCGAACTCCACCGAGAGAGACCTGGTCGGCACGGTCGACATCCGCTCATCCGTCCGGCTGCTACAGCTGGGCTGGGCAATTTCTATATCATCTTGACAAGCTCAGCTACTGGATCGTCAACGAATGATTAGCGACATTGTGATCCATCAGCCAGCGCACAGCCATCTCATCCGAGACCATGGGTCTTCGTGATTAGCCTCTTCCTCGAATGAATGTAACCTCCATAATTATCCCAGGCCCATTTTCCCCGCGCGGGGAATGGTGGCGCGCTCGTCCCCTGGGGAGGGACGCGACGCCATCGCCCATCTTCGACCCAAGCAGACTCAGCTCTGTTGTGGAGAGCAGCCTCTGACCCGGGACTGTCGCATGAGGTGCCGCCGCACGTGGGAAGGGCCATTGCAAAGCCTAGACCATTCCTGCGACGCAGGCCATGCAGCACACACGATGGCCAGGTGCGGCACAGCAGCCAGGAGTTGCCTTCCTTTGGAGATGCTTCTCCAAATATGACTCGTGGAGCACGCTACCGGTGCTGTGTTGTGAGTCGGCGGTGGCTCCGTGTCGCAGAAGGCAGGGGCTGTCTTGGCGGCTCTGGGGTAGCGAGACCAAGCATTAGCTGCGTCGCGGTGTCTGCAGTGTCTGCAGAACGAAATGGAACCCGAGCAGCCGGGGCGGTGGAGATGGAGGAGATGAACCCCGTGGGGAAGACGTGTGGCCTGTACGGAGTAGAGCCTAGAGCTAGAGCCTGAAGCTTAGGCGACGGGACGGGTGACGTTTCCCGGACCCCCAAATGGTGTTTCGTGGTGGAAATGGCAATGGCAGCCACCAACTCTGAGGCCATCGGCAGGTCCGGTCAGGACAGTGCAGGCACCATACCGGTGGTAGAGAGTACTCCGTGCTTCGTACTTACCTCAAACAACCTCTCGCGCGGCCCGGCAGAGCACTTCCGGCCTGCATCCTCTAGCTTGCGCACAGCCCAGCGTTGCGCTCTCAGATACCACGCCGCCTCCATGTTCCCCGTCCATCGTGGCCATTATATAACATGCCGTCCCAGCCCCTGCCCTCACCCACCCGTGCTTCTCGAAGTCGATCAACCTGTTTCCACAGGCGGCTGCAACCGACACAGCTCATAGCACAACCACCGCCATGTCCTCTCCGAGCAACTCCTCGCCCAATGTCGCATCCTCCGAGAAGGATGTCCGCCACCAGGAGATCGAGCACTCCCATGGTGTCAGAGTAGAGCACGCCGACGGTGCCGTCGACTACGTCGACGAAAAGGCCATTGGTGGTGACAGCGCCGCCATGCCCGAGGGCTACTTCAGGAGCGCCCCCTTCATCCTGACCGTCGTGTCCATCTGCCTCGGCAACATGTGTGCCTACACTGGCTGGGTCCTGCCTGCCAACACCCTGTAAGTACTCCGTGCTTCCGTGCCTCTCTGTGTGCCGCATCTCGAAAAGAGCGCTGACCGTCTGGGTCTCTCGACAGGCTGCTTATCAATGCATCATTGGGCGGCTCACCCAACATCGGTTGGGTTGCCACCGCGTGGACGCTGGGGAGCAGCATTGGCTTCCTCCTGGTTGGCCGGCTTTCCGACATCTTTGGTCGCCGCTACATCGTCCTGGGCGGTGGTATATTGAGTCTGATCGGGTGCATCGTCGGAGCCACAGCGCAGTCCGTCGAGACCCTGATTGCTGCCAGCGTCTTCAATGGCATCGCTGCGGCCCAGCAACTGTCCTTTGGCATCTTTCTTGGCGAGCTCGTCCCCAACAGGCTCAGGGGCCCCGTCATCGGTGGTGTCTTCCTCTCCGCCGTCCCCTTTTCCGTGTTTGGGCCCTCGATCGCTCGTGCCTTCATCACAAACACTGCTGCCGGCTGGCGCTGGAGCTTCTACATGAGCATCATCTTCGCCGCCATTGCCTTGGTCCTCGCTTTCTTCTTTTACCACCCTCCGAGCTATGCCCAGCTCCACGTCGGTGGCAAGTCCAAGGCTCAGCAGGTCAAGGAGCTGGATTACATTGGAATCACCCTTTTTGTTTCCGGCTGCGTGCTCTTCCTCGTCGGCCTGTCCTGGGGCGGTATTGCCTACCCATGGGTCAGCGGCCATGTGCTCGGCACACTGATCTCTGGCATTGTCATCCTGATTATCTTCGCCGTCTATGGTGAGCATCCCTTTCTCAATAGCTGGCATCAAGGTTATTCTTGCAATGCCGGCCTCTAATATCTTGTGTCTTTACAGAAACCTACTTCTGCAAGGCCTCGCCCTTGATGCCCCCACGGCTTTTCAAGAACGTTGGCTTTGTCGCCATTTGCGTCGTTGCTTCTATTGCCGCCATGGTATACTGTAAGTTCTTTGCAAAACACCTTTTCTTTGAGAGTGGAACGCGTACATATATGCGGGTTACTGACTGGCCATACCTCTGCGAACAGACGCGCTCACCATCCTCTGGCCCGCCATCATCATGACACTTTACACCACAGACTCTACACAGGTCGGCTTGCAATCGTCGGTCGTTGGCGGCGGTATCCTCCTCGGCCAGGTCCTCGGCGGCTTCGGCTTGTCTTACATCCCAAAGGTCAAGTGGCAGGCCGTCATCTCCGCCATCATCGGCTTCGTCTTCATGACCTCGCTTATCTCTGTCGACCCGAGCCGGTGGGCCGCCACTATAGCCCTCGCCACCGTCGGCTTGGTCGCCATCGGGTACAACGACAACATCACCTTCCCCGGGGTCACCCTCGTTGTCGAGCCGCAGGACATTGGCCTGGCCACGGGCGTCATGGGCTCCATCCGTGGCCTTGCCGGCGCCGTCGCCCAGGCCCTATACGCCTCGGTCCAGTCCAACAAGCTCGCGCAGTACACGGCCGACTACGTGACGGCCGCCGCCACGAGCAATGGCCTGCCCGCGTCCTCGCTGGCGAGTCTGTTCCCGGCCATCACGGCTGGCGACTTCTCCACCGTGCCCGGCATGACCACCCCGATTGCCACCGCCGTTGGCAAGGCCGTGCAGAGCGCCTACCAGGACTCGTTCAAGATGGTCTTCTACGCCACCATCCCCTTCTCCGTCATCATGGTCATCGGCTCCGCCCTCATCCCCAACATGGAAAACAACCTGCACATGAACGTCGCTAAGAAACTCCAGAACACAAACGACAACACCGTGAGCGCCACACCCAGAGCCAAGGCCGCCGAGGTGTAAAACACTTCTATCGCCATTTCTTCTGGTTTCTGCTTATTCACGACGATTTGACGACGCGGATGGTCAAATTGCCACATTTTGTTGTTGTTGTTGTACACATACATATAAATACATATTGTTGTATAGTGGACTGAATGCTCTAATCTCACAGTTTGAAAACTTACGTACTTGCATGTTGTACAGGTGATAGTTTTACCTCGCTACTTTCCTCGTGATGTTGTGGACGCCGTGAGTCAGATACATCGTCGTTGATCGTGTGGGACAGTAGCATTGGTTAGCACCACAAGGAAAGCTTGAGACAGGAGGCCTATCTATCCGACTAATTCCAGGGTGAACTGCTAGTGGCTGTTGGACAAAAGTTGAACCAACAAATCTTTGAGCTGGTGGACCCATCCTCGCCGTTTGCAATTAAATCGAGATCGTATAAGTTAGGACTGTCGATTTATGCGCTCTCTAATCATATGCTAGTACAGAAGGTCGCTATGTATAAATACTTTAGGTCTTCCCTTGGAATCCCACCTGTTGTCTGAGTTTGGCCTTGGTACCAACAACTTCC